CCCTAAACCCAGGACCCTAAACCCCAGGACCCTAAACCCCAGGACCCTAAACCCCAGGACCCTAAACCCCAGGACCCTAAACCCAGGACCCTAAACCCCAGGACCCTAAACCCCAGGACCCTAAACCCCAGGACCCTAAACCCCAGGACCCTAAACCCAGGACCCTAAACCCCAGGACCCTAAACCCCAGGACCCTAAACCCCAGGACCCTAAACCCCAGGACCCTAAACCCCAGGACCTAAACCCAGGACCTAAACCCCAGGACTCTAAACCCCAGGACCCTAAACCCCAGGACCCTAAACCCCAGGACCCTAAACCCCAGGACCCTAAACCCCAGGACCCTAAACCCCAGGACTCTAAACCCCAGGACTCTAAACCCCAGGACCCTAAACCCCAGGACCCTAAACCCCAGGACCCTAAACCCCCAGGACCCTAAACCCCAGGACCCTAAACCCCAGGACCCTAAACCCCAGGACCTAAACCCCAGGACCTAAACCCCAGGACCCTAAACCCCAGGACCCTAAACCCCAGGACCCTAAACCCCAGGACCCTAAACCCCAGGACCCTAAACCCCAGGACCCTAAACCCCAGGACCCTAAACCCCAGGACCCTAAACCCCAGGACCCTAAACCCAGGACCCTAAACCCCAGGACCCTAAACCCCAGGACCCTAAACCCCAGGACCCTAAACCCCAGGACCCTAAACCCCAGGACCCTAAACCCCAGGACCCTAAACCCCAGGACCTAAACCCCAGGACCCTAAACCCCAGGACCCTAAACCCCAGGACCCTAAACCCCAGGACCCTAAACCCCAGGACTCTAAACCCCCAGGACACTAAACCCCAGGACCCTAAACCCCAGGACCCTAAACCCCAGGACCCTAAACCCCAGGACCCTAAACCCCAGGACCCTAAACCCCAGGACTCTAAACCCCAGGACTCTAAACCCCAGGACCCTAAACCCCAGGACTCTAAACTCAGGGCCCTAAACCCCAGGACCCTAAACCCCAGGACTCTAAACCCCAGGACCCTAAACCCCAGGACTCTAAACTCAGGACTCTAAACCCCAGGACCCTAAACCCCAGGACTCTAAACTCAGGACTCTAAACCCCAAGACCCTAAACCCCAGGACTCTAAACTCAGGACTCTAAACCCCAGGACTCTAAACCCCAGGACTCTAAACCCCAGGACTCTAAACCCCAGGACCCTAAACCCCAGGACCCTAAACCCCAGGACTCTAAACCCCAGGACTCTAAACTCAGGACTCTAAACCCCAGGACCCTAAACCCCAGGACTCTAAACCCCAGGACCCTAAACCCCAGGACCCTAAACCCCAGGACTCTAAACCCCAGGACTCTAGACCTAACCCAGGACCCTAAACCCCAGGACCCTAAACCCCAGGACCCTAAACCCCAGGACTCTAAACCCCAGGACTCTAAACCCCAGGACCCTAAACCCCAGGACCCTAAACCCCAGGACTCTAAACCCCAGGACTCTAAACTCAGGACTCTAAACCCCAGGACCCTAAACCCCAGGACTCTAAACCCCAGGACTCTAAACCCAGGACTCTAAACCCAGGACTCTAACCAGGACTCTAAACTCAGGACTCTAAACCCCAGGACCCTAAACCCCAGGACTCTAAACCCCAGGACTCTAAACTCAGGACTCTAAACCCCAGGACTCTAAACTCAGGACTCTAAACCCCAGGACACTAAACCCCAGGACTCTAAACCCCAGGACTCTAAACCCCAGGACCCTAAACCCCAGGACTCTAAACCCCAGGACTCTAAACCCCAGGACTCTAAACTCAGGACTCTAAACCCCAGGACCCTAAACCCCAGGACTCTAAACCCCAGGACTCTAAAACCCCAACTCTAAACCAGGACTCTAAACCCCAGGACTCTAAACCCCAGGACCTAAACCCCAGGACTCTAAACCCCAGGACCTAAACCCCAGGACCCTAAACCCCAGGACCCTAAACCCCAGGACTCTAAACCCCAGGACCCTAAACCCCAGGACTCTAAACCCCAGGACCCTAAACCCCAGGACTCTAAACCCCAGGACCCTAAACCCCAGGACTCTAAACCCCAGGACCCTAAACCCCAGGACTCTAAACCCCAGGACCCTAAACCCCAGGACCCTAAACCCCAGGACCCTAAACCCCAGGACTCTAAACTCAGGACCCTAAACCCCAGGACTCTAAACTCAGGACCCTAAACCCCAGGACTCTAAACTCAGGACTCTAAACCCCAGGACCCTAAACCCCAGGACTCTAAACCCCAGGACTCTAAACCCCAGGACTCTAAACCCCAGGACTCTAAACCCCAGGACTCTAAACTCAGGACTCTAAACCCCAGGACTCTAAACCCCAGGACCCTAAACCCCAGGACCCTAAACCCCAGGACCCTAAACCCCAGGACCTAAAGGACTCTAAACCCAGGACTCTAAACCCAGGACTCTAAACCCCAGGACTCTAAACCAGGACCTAAACCCCAGGACCCT